GGACTTGTGACCTCGAGCAGCACCGCCATCCCCACAGGGTTTCTGAAGTCTCGGGCAACTCTTGCTACAATTCTGAACAAAACAAAGGAAAATCCTCTCCTGACTGACCTGGCATATATTAAAACCATGCAAAATAAAAGTCTTGTGATTATAGTAAAATGAAAGTTCTAGGCTCAGAGACATATTTTTTGCCCATATGAATGTCATTCGAAAGTCACACAGGACACGGAGGCAGAGTTTTGTTGCCTGGAGTTGTCCCAGATAGGATTTTACATCTTCAATGGCTTTATTCCATTGAATATATATACCCCTCCCCAAATCAACATGGCACCCAAAGACCTGCTTGTGATTAGCGGCCTGATTGAGACCTGCTCTCTCGGGCTATGGGGTGGGCAGCCATGGACAATGCCTCGTTTGCCATTTAGGAAAATCCCCTGGCTGTGGCTAAGCCTGGAGGCAGGGAGTGTCGTATGCAGGCCAATTATAAGAGCCTGAGAAAGCTCACTGGGGGCCCAAATAGGGAATGGCCGTGCAGAGAATGCTGAGAGCAGGGGTGTTAAGGACAGAGGGGTTCAGGTATAGTAGCAGTTTGGCCGGTGTCTGTGCCACTGGTTTCCCAGCCGGCTCACCCTGCATTCTCTCCTAGTCTCTCGTCTGACTCGCTTCCCTCCACTTGAAAAATCTCTCCTGCTGCAGCCACTGGCCTCCTCTATCTCTGGCATGACTGTCCGTTGTCCTTAATAAAGAGCAGCGTCTTCCTCCCTCACTGCCCATCTCTTCTCACCTGCCACCCACTGGCTGCTGCTCACACCACTGCACAGAAACCGCTCTCCAGACTTCCCGGCAGCCACCTCAGCAGCATGGCTGTGGCTTCTCAAACTTGACTGCATCAGAATCAGTTGGAAGGCTTATGAGACCAGGTTGCTGAGCCTCACCTGCAGTTCTTGTGACTTAGTAGGGGCTGGCAAATTCCCAGGAGGTGCTGATCTGCAGATCCTGGAGTGTACGCTGAGGGCCACAGGTGGTCAGGAGCAAGTGCAGGCTCCAGGCCCCTTGCAGTGTGGCCGAAGCTTGCCTTTCTAACCTCATCCGCTACAGCTGAGCACTTACTCCTCCCGGAACACAGTACACAGGGCAGTTGGCATCTTTCCCCGTCCCCTCGCTCTGGCATGCCCTTTCATTCTCCTCCTCTGCTTGTTTCTCAGGGCCTAGCTCAGAGGCCACATACCTTTTGAAATGTTCTCTCTTCTATCAGAATCAGAATTGTCCCTCTGTTTAAAAAGTAACCACATTTATTCAACTATTCGTTTATTAATATAACAGTGATTGGGTCATAGTCCCTGCCCTGCATAGGCTTAGAATTTTGTAGGAAAGAGACTTTGAAATTACCTTCATTGTAAGGCAGCAGTAACAGAGCGATAGTGGAGGGTAAGGGAATCCTTTACTGAAGAAATGAATGAGATTTGAGTGAGAAGAGCACACAGAGTGGAGTCCGCAGGGAGGGTAGGCTGGCTGAGGAGAGCGCTGCTCATCTCTGCTGCGGACTTCTTCCCTCTTCCTGATGTCGCCCACCTTGAAACCACCCTATCCTGGCTTGTAACAAACACAACAGCCTCTCCTACAATACAAAACACAGATCTTCCAAGTTTTCATCAGAAGCCTGGGAAGGAAACTCTCCAACTGCAGAAGGAAAGGGTCATTCCCTCAAGCAGGGTCCAGCCCTGGGGGCTGCAGCGGAGGCAGCTGCTAGGTTGAGCTGGAGTAGCTCTGGGTCCCTCTTCCTGCCTCTTGCTGGATTCTTTCTTCCTCCTGCCGATTAGCTGTTGGGAGTTAACCAGTCTTTTCTTTCAAAGCCCAGTCACTTACTCGGCCAAGTCCAGGGTTTCTCAAGCTTGAAGCTCCCTGTGAATCACCTGGGGATCTTGTTGAAGTGCAGATTCTGACTTACTGGGTCTGGGGTAGGGCCTGAGAGTCTGCATTTCTAACAGGCTCCCAGTTCCTGCCGGTGCTGCTGGCCCAAGTCCAGCACTTTGAGCAGAAAGAGTGCCACTTATGCTTGTCAGCTCCCAATCTAAATGTTGAGCCTTGAACTTGGGACAAGGCACAGAAACCAAAAAGGAATGAGACTAGCTAAAAATTGACTGGGTGTTTGTTATGTATCAGGTTCTGTGCTAAACTCTTTTTATAGACAATTGCTTTTACTCTGCACGGAACTCCTCATGGGGATAGATACATATTGTTCTATTTTGCAGATGAAAACACCTGTGTTCTGTAAGGAGGCAGGGCTCTCCTAGCTGTGTGGAGGAAGGTGGTGCTGGCAGGCTGCACACCGCCCAGGGCAGGGCTTCGGCAGGACGTGGGAGGGCTCCCTGATTATATGTGGAGATTCCAGTCTCCCCTGTGCCTCAGGAAAAGTCCTACCTGCCTGGAGATGTGGGAGGAAACCCAGAGCATAGAATAGGAGCTGACCCCTTACGCACCTGTCAGATGGGCACCAAATTTTAAAAATGCCTCTCTTTCAAGCTTCTCAACACTTCACAATATTTTGACATGGGAAGGCAAAAGAAAAAATGGAAATGCTTTGAAACATTTCTCTTCCTTGGATCCTTGTTCTCAGACCATGTGACTGAATTGAAGTTCAGTCATAGGATTCCAGTTTAACATATGCAGTTACTATAGCAATTGAGGTTTCCTTAGTAACAGTTGCAAAAATAATCCAGCCCCAATTAATAATACATTTTAAAGCTCTTTCTACTCCAGGCTGAACAACCCAGTTTTTTTGGCCAAGAACCAGATAATTCAGGTGGTGTCATTTGCGCTGATATAGATATCATTTGCATGCGGCGAATTGGGTTGGAAAGGAATGAAAAGGGAGCCGGTTGTTTCAAGTATTATAGGAATCCAATCTGAAAGTCGACTGGCAAGCTAATGCAAATGTAGTCTCCAAAGCTTGGGAGCTTAAGGGTAAACCTTTCCCTGGATTCCCAGTGTGCCCTAGAGGACTTTCTGCGTTTGAAGAAGGGAGAAGGCAAAAGATTGGACTTGCTAACAAAAAAGATGGACCCGGGAGGGCGGGGCCGTGGCACATAGGATTTCTCTCTAAGTGGTGCCTGGTGTGTTCTTGCTGACGTGAGAAGGTCTGTGGTATGTCAATTCAACAAGTCTTCCTGGAGAGAATGTCTGATTTACCACTGGGAGGTGTGTCCTCAGCATTGCTCAGTTATGGCATTGGGAATTGGACTCTGCCACACCTTGGCTTCCTAATCCTTCCACCCATTCAGGACATTTGTCTGTGTGTTACAGGGGGACCAAGTGGCAGTCTGTGGCTTTCACAAGTTTTCATCCCATGATGCATGGGACTCGCCAAAGCAAGCCTAAGCAAGCTGGCAGGCCAGGGGCATGACAGTGGGCTGGGTCCTGGGTCTGGATGCAGTTCCTGGGGTTGAGCTGGCCTTAAGAAACAAGAGTCTGACCAGCAGAGTGCTGGAGCCTGGCCAGGCATCCCCGCCCTGCCCCTCCCTCTGGACAAGCTCAGTTGGAGGAGGCCCAGGTTGCTCTCCCTGGGTGGAATCTGTACCTTGCCTCTGCTTTCTTTCTCAGCTGGCAAATGGTTTGGTCCCTGCGGCCAAAAAACTAAGTGTGAAAAGAGTGGTGGAGGTGGAACAATGCTTGTACTATGAGTTTCCTAAGAGGAACCTAGAATGGTTTCTTTTTTCATATTTAGTAGTGGGAGAGGGTGGGTGGGGGAATGCAGAGCCAAGCAAAATGATGATGGAGTGGGTGAGATCTCAAATCACCTTCCTGGGATGGGTTTCATTAGACTTTAGCTTCTTGCCACTGACAAGGTGAACATCGCCAGTACTTAGCTGCAAGAGAGGTGTTTCACAGTCTGCCCTCTTGTCTGTTTTTGGAGTGGGACATTGAAGGGAAGGGAGGACTACAGTTGGCTTTGCCTTGCCTCGTGGTTTCCCGTCTTCTTGGCCTTCTCTCTTACTCCCCCAGAGGAAGGCTCCCTGCAGCATCCTCTCATTACCTGTTGTGTTTTTCCAATGTGCTCTCATTTGCTCACCCACTCATTCACCTATTTCAGCAAATGCTGATCCGAATGCCTTCCTGGCCCAGGCGCTGTGCTAGGCTCCGGGGGGGTGCAGCGACAAGAACATCCACTAGGCGGTCTGCCCATCAGGGCTGGGACTCTGCGGGGGTACAGCGATGAGAACATCCACTAGGCAGTTCGCCCCATCAGGGCTGGGACTCTGGCCTACTCTTCAGGGTATCCTCAGCACTTAGCATCTTGTGGGAAACTGAGTGGGCACTCCGTAAATACTGGCTGATTGAGTGGAAAGAGCTTGATCTCTGCCCTGGGGGAGCTCACCATCTAGGATGGGAGAGAGATGCAAGGACAGACAGCCCAGAGATACGTAAGAGGGTGCTAAGGAAGTGTATTGAGCCCAGGGGACGGGAATGAGGGCAAGTGGAGAGGAGGGTCAGGGTGGGAGGCGGCAGAAGGAGACGGGCAGAGAGGACAGCAAGGGCAAAGGTCAGAGCTCAGGGGAAACTGCACCAAGGGTGTGTGCCTGTGGAGGGTGCTTGAGGGTGAGTCGTAGGAAATGAGTCAGGACACGTGGGTGAGGGCCAGATCCTAGAGGAACTCTGTACTGTGAAAAGGAAATGTTTCTCTATAGCTCATAGGTAGTTCAGAGCCATTAAATTTTTCAAGCAGAGACCTGATATAGCCAGATTAGTATTTCAGCTGGATCACCCTGGGAGGCCTGTGATGGTGGGGAGTGCAGGCAGCGGATAGGGGAGAGATGGTAGAAGCGTGGCACGGACAGACAGAGAAGGATCCTTAGGGAACCTGGGCTCTGTGCTGCCTTCTTCTGAAGGCACTGAAGCCAGCCTGTCTTAAATCTGGAGGAAACCTGGCTCAGAGCCTCAAGGTGGATGGGCCACGTTTCTGGGAGTGTGTGGCAATTCCTCTGTTCCCCTCTCCTTTGCAGTGACAAAGCTGCAGGTGAGCAAATCGAAGAGGACCCTGACCCTGGTGGAAAACAGGCCCATTCAGTTGAACTGCTCAGTCAAGTCTCAGACAAGCCAGAACTCCCACTTCGCAGTGCTCTGGTACGTCCATAAGCCCTCAGATGCCGACGGCAAACTCATCCTGAAGACCACCCACAACTCCGCCTTCGAGTACGGCACTTATGCGGAGGAGGAGGGCCTGAGAGCCAGGCTTCAGTTTGAGAGGCATGTGTCGGGGGGCCTGTTCAGCCTCACCGTCCAGAGAGCTGAGGTCAGTGACAGCGGCAGCTACTACTGCCACGTGGAGGAGTGGCTGCTGAGCCCCAACTACGCCTGGTACAAGCTGGCAGAGGAGGTTTCTGGGCGCACAGAAGTCACTGTTAAACAGCCCGGTAAGGACGCAGGGTACGGCTGTCCTGGGCTAGCGGGTGTGGTGCAGAGACTGCCTGGGGGTGGACGGAGCTCCGTGGGGCTGGTGTGGAGAGACTCTCTGCAAGGTACATGCCGGGTGTGGGTGCAGGTACACAGACCATCACTCTAGCACGCTGCAGCTCCACCCATTTTATCTGCATGGGTCCCGATGCTGATGGCAGACTCATGGAAGCATCCTTGACTCTGCTTCTGTGGACACCATCTTCACCAAGGAGCAGCCGGAGAGGGCAGCTGTGGTTAGCAAGATGTGGCAAAGCAGAGTTCTTGGCAGCTCCTGCATCTCCTTCTGGGTTTGCAGTTTGCACCCGGGATCTCAGGCTGGCACCAGCTCCACACCCAGAGTTTTCTGGTTTTATGCGTCTGCATCCCCTTCTTCCTTAGCTCCCAGCGCAGCCCCCACAAGCCCTTCCTATCTCCAAACTGAATCTCCTTCTTTGGCCCCTCTTCGACCCCAGGGTGTAGCCCTTATTCTTCTCCCTGACAGGAGGCACTCAACCTCTGCTAGAATGCTTCCAGGGAGGGAGAGCTCTCACTCTGCAAGCCTCAGTTCCACTTTTGGGTAGCTCTGATTGTCGAAAAGATCACCTTCCTGTAATTTCCCTCTTTAGATCTGCCCCTAGAACAACAAAAGGTAAGTCTGGGTCATTTCCTTTCAAACACATGAAGCGTATACCCCTTTCAATCTCCCCTCTTCTGTTAACGATCTCTAGTTCTTTCAACTTCTGCTCACATAATGTAGCCTTAATGGCCTCTCCATCGCCAATTCTCCGTCCCTACAATTTGTGGTTGCTGCTACCTTCCTTCCTGATGGGCCACGGGGGTGCTGTGTTGCCACCCAGAGTCTCATCTCGAGACCTTTGCTTGTGTCATCCTCATTGTCTGGAATGTGTTTCTCCTGCTGCTTCTCCCCTGTCTTCACCCTATCCCTAAGACTTCATTCAGCACCACCTTTAGGAAGCCTGCCCTGATTTCTCCCATACCAGTATGGGTCCATTATAAAACACATAGTCTAATAATGGTTTGTGTTTCTTCTATACTACACTGGAAGCACTTTGAGGACAGGGCTGTGTCATATCTTCAGCCACCAGTCTGGTACTCTTAGTAAATACTGGTTGAATAAGGAATAAATTATTGCTTTCCTTGGGCACCCCAAGGCCTTGGTACTTACTGTTCTCTCAGCCTGGAACATGTTGGCCATAGATATTTATTTATCTTGCTCTTCCTTAAAGGGGGATTCCCAGCTCATTTTAACTTAAACGTAAGCCCTCATCACTCTAGCTTTCCTTCCCCGGCCTTTCCACAATACATATCACCACCTGACATTCTGTTAATGTACTTATTCATATATAAGTAATTACTAAGTATTTATTTATATTTATACTTAACACAGACTCACCAGTCGCTATGCATTATGTTTTATATTAGAATGCATATATAGCCACATTTGTTTTCTGTCTCTGCCACTAGAGTCGAAGCCTCCTGGGTAGGCATTGGAGCTTGGTTTTCTTCACCATTGCTCATCTCCTAAGGAGGCCCGTTCAGTAAGCCAGTGGAACCCAGTACCGAGCTCCAGATGTGGCCTGGCCCCTGCTGAATGCAGTGGGTCTGTCCTCCTCCTTTGCCTGAGGATAGTCTATTTCCAGGGATTCTCACTGGCCTCATGGTGGCATTTTCTGCTAACCTCTGCTGGTACATGAAACAGGAAGCTCTGGTCTGAAGTGATTCCCAGTGGCATTTTTGGTGACCTGACTTCAGGCCAGTCCCTGGGGTTTTTGAAAATGAAGGTTGTCATTGGGCCCACCAGTGTTCTTTTGGTTCCTATTTTTCATCTATTTTCAGTTCTAATTATTTTCTCTACTGAAAGAACACGATCACCCCCGTCCCTCTGCATTTCCCTCTAGTCATGACCATCTTTTCCCTTCCTCGTTTGTACTGAAACCGAGAGATTCTTGGAGGGGCCTAGACTTATTGAGGGGATTTCCCTCTCTGAGACTACAGTCAAGCTAAGTGGGACAGTGCAGAAGGATTGGAAGGATCCCTGTCCACACATTTAATGAAGTCTCCGTTATAGTGAACTTTAAAACTGTAAATGTGAAACTCACAGGACACCGAGTGAAACAGCTTTCCCTGTTTCAGTTGACAGTTTTGATTTGTATCGTTTTCTTTCGGAAAATACATACACACCAAAAAAATTAAAAAATTAAATAAAAAACCCAAGAAACAAAACAAAACAAAGAGAGTAACCTTTCAACCCTGAGACAACCACAGTTAATATCTTCATATGTATATATATATATATATATTTGAATGGGGAAGGAGAAAGGGATTTCGTTCTATAAAGTTGGTTATTTTATATTTCCTAACTTGAGTTACAAAAGTAATCATGAACACTGTAAAACATTCAGGCAGGTGTAACTGAAGGGTGTAAAAGTAATGAGTGAAAGTGCCCAGCCTCTCTGCCTCTGACGTCACTCAGAAGTCTCATTCCTGAGGTGCTACAGTGTATTCATAGTGTCATAGCTTTTAGATACGTCTGGTCCAGAGAGAGTCATTTGGGCCCTTGTGAGATCATAGGCATGCCATCAAGGTGTGCTGTCATTAATGACACTTTTCCACTGGAGGAGACTCTGCTTGGCTGAGTTTTCAAAGCACCCAGTTCCATTGGTGTCAGTCTTTTCTTTTTTTTCTTTTTTCCTTTTTGTTTCTTTTGAGGCAGCGTCTTACTCTGTTACCCAGGCTGGAGTGCAATGGCATGATCTTGGCTCACTGCAACCTTCACCCCCCCCTTGTAGCTGGGATTACAGGTGCACACCACCTCTTTTTGTATTTTTTAATGGAGACAGGGTTTCACTGTGTTGGCCAGGCTGGTCTCAAACTCCTGGCCTCAAGTGATTCACCCACCTTGGCCTCCCAAAGTGCTGGTATGACAGGTGTGAGCCACCACACCCAGGAATCTTTTCTTTACTGCTGTCATATCAGTTGTATTCCCACCCTAAGAGGGAACTTGTGTAGGTTTTTGTAAGAAAATTGAGAACTACAATTCTGAGGGTAACAGATGAACAGATTAAACTGGGTTTCCCCCTGCAGTTTCTGTGCGGTTGGCAGCCCAACATTTTCTAGCCATCATATGGTCAGTTTTAAAAGTTTATTCTTTTCGGGGTTTCTCACCATCCCCTTCCCTGACTGTTCCCAGCCACCCGCCTCAGTCAGCCACATGCTTTGGGGTCTTTTGTCATTTGGATGTGCAGTCTCTGCAGCTTCTGCTCATCCTCCCGTGAGCCTCAGAAGTGATGAGGGCTGTGACTTCAGGGACAGCTGTTACTGTAACATCGAACTCCTCAAAACTCAGGCATTCCAACACATGATCGAGGAACTCAGAATGTTTAGGGAGCCACATCTGAGAAATGTTTCTCCTAATGGAGCCCATCTGCCATCCTTCTGTGTTTGGAAAGTACCTTTTCACCCACCCTGGGAAAGGATGCATGTGGATTGTCCTCTTGTGGCTGACTTCTGTTTCCTCACTGTTCCAGATAGCCGCCTGAGGCTCAGCCAAGCCCAGGGGAACCTGTCGGTTCTGGAGACCCGGCAGGTGCAGCTGGAGTGTGTCATCCTCAATCGCACCAGCATAGCCTCCCAGCTCATGGTGGAATGGTTTGTATGGAAGCCCAACCACCCTGAGCAGGAGACTGTGGCCCGTCTGAGCCGAGAGGCCACCTTCCACTATGGAGAGCAGGCGGCCAAGAACAACCTGAAGGGGCGGCTGCATTTGGAGAGTCCTTCCCCCGGCGTGTACCGGCTCTTCATCCAGAACGTGGCTGTGCAAGACAGTGGGACCTACAGCTGCCGCGTGGAGGAGTGGCTACCTAGCCCCAGTGGTGTGTGGTATAAGCGGGCAGAGGACACCGCTGGGCAGACAGCTCTGACAGTCATGCGACCAGGTGAGTGTCCATGTCCCCAGTCTTCCACTCCCTCTGATGTTTCCCCTTTAAGTATAATATTTTATGCACTGGATAAAATTATTAATAAATTATTTGCAGTTAAATATATGAATGTCTATATTTGTATGCATTTATATTCAAAATTGCCTGAATTTTTTTCTAGTGAATGGAAAATTGCACATCTGGCTTTGGCCTAAGGTGATTTGATTTCTTAATCAGAATAAAATCTGGCCATTCATTATTCCAGGCGCACAAATCTTTTTCCAGATTTGAACAAATGGTGAATATGACAGAAATCTTGAAAGAATAACCATGTTGTTAAAAAAAATTTCAGCTTGTGGATTTTCAGTGGAAAATAATCAGGTTACAAGCTTTAAATAGAAAACAATGGATTGTGTATAGCCTTCACTCTCTCACTTCCCAATAATTTATTTTTATTTTTATTTTTATTTCTCGAGATGGAGTCTCACTCTGTCGCCCAGGCTGGAGTGCAGTGGCGCGATCTCGGCTCACTGCAACCTCTGCTCCTGGGTTCAAGTGATTCTCCTGCCTCAGCCTTCCCGAGTATCTGGGACTACAGGCGTGTGCCACCACACCCAGCTGATTTTTGTATTTTTAGTAGAGATGGGGTTTCACTATGTTGCCAAGCTGGTCTCAAACTCCTAACCTCGTGATTCACCCGCCTCGGCTTCCCAAAGTTCTGGGATTACAGGCATGAGCCACCTGGCCCAGCCCCAATAATTTTATTAGTACTAATAGCTATTGTGTGTGGCCTTTTGTTTTCCTTGTGTTTATTGCTGTTTCTGAATATCTACATGCATATAATCACTAGGCATAATTGTTGCACATTTAAACACATAAGTAAAGCTAAGATGTGCAGGATTCCTGTGTCCTTTGTAACATCATAGCATCATCCATTTGTATTAGGGTGAAAGTGGATCGTTTCTGTAAGGACCTGGAGTAGAAGTGAATTCGTGACCCCATCAGTATCTTGTTTGCTTTCTGAGCATCCTGACATTCACATTTGTGGCCTTTGGCACTATTGGAAGATTTCATAATGTCTTTATGTCTGAGTAGAGCAGCTCATTTCGTTGGTGGGACATTGGATCTCTAGGGTGGCGCCAGGTCCCTTAGAGCATGGAACACACTTCAGGGAGGTGCTGCAGCCTTGATTGCAGGCAATGGACCGTATCTCATTCACCTGTGTCCTGCCTAAGCTGCAGGGGAAATCACCTACCTCCACTTTGAGCTAACTTCTGTTTTTCTTATGAGCTTTTATTTATTTATATATATATATATTTTGCTTTTTGCCTTGCCTAGAAATGGCTGCACGTCTTTTCCCGAAGGTGAAATTGTGGAGAATGGCAGCTGAATGCCCCGCTTCCTCAACTCCCACCCATTCTGCAGGTCACCACACTGAGGCCCCCAGATGGAATGGGAGGAGACACATGTTTATTAAGTACAGCTACATCCCAGCCATAGTTAGGAGACTTCCGTTCAGGCTTCACATTAACCCTGAGTGGTAGGTTTTACTCATGAGGAACCAAAGCCCGGAGTGAAGCACCACACAGCGAGCAGGTACAGGCGGAGTGACCCCAGCTTCCCTCCTGCCACTCTGTGTGCTTCCAACAGGCACCTGAACTGTTGGCCCTCTGTCTGTCTCCTGTTCAACCCTATGAGCAAGCCTGCATCAGCCTGCCTCCCATCCGTTGGTCCATCTATCCCTGATTGCACAGGTTGATTGTACTAATTACAAAACATTGGAAAACAGAAAAGTATAATTTTGAAAGTTAGCCATAATCTCACGGCCTGCAAACACCTACTGTTAATAATTTGGTGTATATTTTTTGGTCTTTACCTCATGTCTTCATATTTCCTCTCTCTCTAAACAAAGGCAGGATCTTACTATTTTATGCGATCTTTTTTTCCCACTCAGCTTTCTTTTCTGAGCATTTTTTCATGTCTCTGAAAGCATTTCATAGTCACTATTTTTAGTGGTTTCATAACATTCATTGTGCAGATGTACTTAAAATGTTTTTTTTTCGGAGGGATACATTAAACATGTGGAAGCCTTGGAATAATATAGTTCTAAAAGTATTGTTAGGGAAATCATCACCTTTGGCTGCTAAGGGTTGACCATTCACTATATTCTGAAATACATGGAATGAAGGGCTCCCACCCTCACTAAGATTGCAGATGGGGAGATTAGTAGTTGTGTTTGGCTCGCACAACTGGGGAAGAGAGAAAGCCACAGTCATCACACAGGCCAGGAATCAGTGGTCACTGAGAGCCAGGGAGCCATTAGCATCACACAGACAGCAGGGGCAGAAGTCAGCATCTTTCCGTGGCTTATACTTGGAAAAGAAGAGAGTATTAACATCTGAACAGGGAAGAAGGTTGGCACATTCTAGAAGGGGGCAGATGCAGGAAACCAGATTGGTAGAGAAACATTGTAAGGGGAGAAGATTGTGGGAAGGTAGAAATTAATTTCTTTCAGGAAACTGGTATTGAGTCATTTATGCAGATAAAGCATGAAGGGGCCAAGGAAAATGTTAAGCAATCTTAGAAGAGAAGAAAGCAAAGGGAGAGTGGAGAGGGAGGAGGTGCTGCTGAGGAGCTAAATGCCTGATGGTCTCTGGCCATCTTGTCCCTGGCCGTGATGAGTGCCATTGCATGTCACCCAGGACCACCTCCCTTGACACCTTAGCCAGTTACCAGGAGCCTGGGGATACCTGCGGATGTCAGACTCTGGAGGAGAAAAACACTGGGGAGCTCCCCATTGCACTGCAGTAGCCTTGGAGTTACAACTGAGGAGTCGAGTGAGTTTGAGTTGCCTGTGAAATGATTGAATAGTCCCTGCCTGGCCACTTTCTGATCTCAAGTGTGTTCTTGTCCCTGAGAGAGCTGGGCCTGCCACCTGTAACTGGTTACTGAGCCTCCTTTTGCCAGCGCATGCCGAGATTCCAGATGGGTGTGGTGGGGGGGCTGTGCAGAGGGGCTTGGCAGAGCCCCCAAAGGGCAGTGGGAAGCCCAGCTTTGTGTTCACCTGTGAGTGATGCTAAGCCAATTCATTGAAAGTCCAGGGCAATACTTGGAAAGTGCTCCTATTTGGTCTTCCTCCAAGTAGGATCTGATTTGGTAGCTCTACTTTGGTTTACATTACATAAACAGGGCCAAAGGGAGGCCTTTTAGGAGTTAGAGAATGAATTACTTGTTTAGAACATACTACAGTGAGCCAAAAAAAAAAAAAAAAAAAACCACAAAACAGATACGAGTCTGTCTGTTGGCATCTGTGAGCTGTGACTCACCTGCTTGGGGTCCCTCTCTGAGGTTGACTGTGTGTCTCCGGCCTAAGTGGGGAGGACACTTTGTGTACACCCTCCTGAGACAGTCCTGCTCACAGGGTAGGGCCCTTTCAGCCTCGTCAGCTGTGATTTCGCTTCAGTCCTTGGAGAGACACTGATCTCCTTGGTCTCACTGTGTTTTAGGCAGTAAGCAACATGCACGTAGCTTACATTTAAGTTACTGCATGGGTGTTTAACTTCCCAGGGCTACCATAGCAAATTACTATAAACTGGATTGTTTAAAACAAAAGACATTTATTCTCTTACAGTTCTGCGGCTAGAAATCCAAAATCAGGACGTCATCATAGCCTTGCTCCCCGTGAAGGCTCCAGGGAGGAGCACTTTCTGGCCCTCCCCAGGTCCTCGTGGCCAGAGGCGTTCCGGCTGCTTCACTCCTGTTTGGGCCTCCCCTGTCATATGCCACCTTCCCTGTGTCCTCTCCTGGGCTCATAAGGACACTAGTTACCTTAGTCGGCTCAGCTGCCATAACAAAATACTGTAGACTGGGTGGCTTCAACAACAGAAATCTATTTTCCTACAGTTCCAGAGGATGGAAGTCTGAGGTCAGAGTGCCAGCATGGCTAAGTTCTGGCAAGGGCTCTTCCGGCTCCCAGATGGCCGCCTTCTTGCCATGTCCTTGAATAGCCTTTCCTCGGTGCGTGCACCTGGAGAGAGATCTTCTCTCTGCTTCTTCTTAGAAGCCACCGGTCCTACTGGATTAGGGGGCTCAGCCTTATGGCCTCGTTTGATTTTAGTTACCTCCTAAAAGTCCTACCTCCAAATGCAGTTGCAGTGTGGGTTAGAAATTCAGCATGTTAATTTGGAGGGGGACCAATTCAGTTCATAGCACCAGCTGTTGGATTTGGGGCCCACCCTAATCCAGTAGGACCTCCTCTTAGCTAATTACATCTGCAAAGATGCCATTTCCGAATAATCACATTCTGAGGTTCCAGGTGGACGTGCATTTTGGAGGGACACTATTCAGCCACTCAAGGGATTACAGTGAAAATAAACATCCCTTCCTCCCAGGGTTCCCGGAAGGGACCACATTGCCAGCTTCTCATGAATTCTTTCACAGATATTTTATGCAAGTATAAACAGACATGTATGTCAGAATAAAATACATTTGCTGCATACAGTGACGTGGACAAGAACATTGTTCTGTACTCCAATAATTTTTCTTGGGTCAGCTTCCACCTGCGGCACTGCCGGTGCCTTTTCAATAGGTGCATAGTATCCTATGGATATTGCTATCATGTATCTAGTGATGGACATTTAGTTTATTTTGAGAAAATAAATTTAAACCACCACTTCTCTCTCCTTTGTCCTTTGTCCCTTGTCCCTCCCCAGATGCTGCCCTACAGGTGGACACAGTGGTCCCCAATGCCACGGTTTCTGAGAAGGCAGCTTTCCAGCTGGACTGTAGCATTGTGTCCCGCTCCAGCCAGGACTCCCGCTTCGCTGTGGCCTGGTATTCCCTGAGGACTAAAGCTGGGGCAAAAAGGAGCAGCCCTGATGTGGAAGAACAGGAAGAGGAAAGGGAGGAGGAAGAGGAAGAGGAGGAGGAGGAGGGGGACAGTGATGATTCAACAGAGCGGATGGCCCTGCTGAGCGTGGGCCCAGATGCTGTCTTTGGCCCAGAGGGCAGTCCCTGGGAGGGCAGGCTTCGCTTCCAGAGGCTCTCCCCGGTGCTCTACCGGCTCACAGTGCTGCAGGCAAGCCCCCAAGATACGGGCAACTACTCCTGCCGCGTGGAGGAGTGGCTGCCCAGTCCTCAGAAGGAGTGGTACCGGCTGACGGAGGAGGAGTCGGCCCCCATTGGCATCCATGTTCTGGATACAAGTGAGTTTCCCAAGTACAGAGGAAGGAACTCTGTCACTGTTGGTTCCAACTGTGTCTGGAAGATAAATTTAGAGCTTGATTGTGGGTTAATAATAAGTAGTTTTCTTTTTTGTTTTGAGACCGAGTTTTACTCTTGTTGCCCAGGCTGGAGTGAAATGGCACACACTGCAACCTCCACCTCCCGGGTTCAAGCGATTCTCCTGCCTCAGCCTCCCGAGTAGCTGGGACTATAGGCGCGCACCACCACGCCCAGCTAATTTTTGTATTTTTAGTAGAGACGGGATTTCACCATGTTGGTCAGGCTGGACTTGAACTCCTGACTTCGTGATCCACCCATCTTGGCCTCCCAAAATGCTGGGATTACAGGCGTGAGGCACTGCGCCCGGCCATAAGTAGTTTTCTTAATGGTCACGGGCATTTATTAGTAGGATTTGAGATATGGTAGGGTTGGATATACTAGCTCATATAACTGATTACCTATGCAAAAACAGGGATAGAAATTAAAGTGATAATATACCATATAATCTTTATAATAGACTTGATGCTCCACCAGATTTCATTTTCGTAAGATTTCATTATCCTAATATATTGTTTGGTATTTCTTTGTTATTTTTTTAGACTATGGGAACTCGCCTTTCTTTAGTGAATTAGCAAGTGTTTCAGACTCACAATGGAAAGGGAAAACAATGAAGCCTTTATTTCTTTTTGTCCAGTTTCTGGGTCATTGTTATTTTGGAGGGTGACTTGGAAGTCGAGGTGGGTCTTGTATGTTGGGAGGACCAGCCTGGAAGGGCTGTGATATTACAGGAGAGCTGAGGATTTGCAGGCACCCAGAATGCGGTTTCCATGATCCTGAGGGACTCCCACTGTGAACAGACACGGGGGGAAGTATTGCTGGCCCGAATTATTGTTGGAACAGTGCACTCTTGGTTGACTTGCCATCAAAACGTGGGCTACATTAGACTAAAAATGGGGCTCCAGTATTCCCCGAGGACTAACGCTGGGGCGGGAAGTAGCAGCCCTGACCTGGAACGCAAAAAGCAAAACAATTGCTGGGAGTTTCTTCTTTTCGGCCAAAACATTTTTACCACTTAATCTCGATTGGGCTTTTTAAGTTTGGGCCACTGTTCCTTTGCCTTGGTCACCCAGCGTTCACATTGTTTTGGACAGAACCGTATGAAGCTGGGGTTTTGCAGGTCAGCAGTGGCAGACCAGCAGCAGGTTCATGCACTTTGGAAATCGAGTAAGAGGCAGGTTACATTTTCTTAGTAATACTGATGAGTAACAGCTGTTCAGTGGACGGGACAGCAGGCTGCAGCAGACACAGACCACGCTGTGATTCACTGAATAACCCGCTGCCTCAAAGCGAAAGCCACGCGGTCTAGGCAGCACTTTACCTGTGCACTGTGGATGCCCATTATTATTGAGCTTCATCGAGCACAGACATCACCCAGCAGCCTTATTTTACAGAGAGAACATGGGCTGCCAGAGGCTAGGCTCCTGCCAAGGTTGAAAGACTTATAGAGCAGCCCTGAACCTGTCTTGGGGCGCCTGGTTTATTCTCTTCCATATCCAGCGATAACTAGTACTGTGTTCTTTGTGGCCATGGACACACTATGGATGTTTGAAAGTGGTCCATAATGACATTTAATTGGCAACATTAATCAGGTAAGTGTCATTTCTGGTCAAACTGCTCTCAGAAGCTGGCAGGAAGGGAATGTGTCATCAGCCCAGAGAAGGAAGCCTGTAGCAGAACCAAGTGCAAAGGGGCATGTAAAATGCAGCCATGCAGGAACTGGAGCAGCTGCTTCAGGATCCTCGAGGCAGGCGAGTTCCCAATCAATAAATTACATTTCCTTATGTGGCTTTCCAAGCAGCAGTAATGGCTCTCAATGGAAAATAGAAGCACTGCTTTGCTGGAAATTCGGAGAGGTGTTAGGAGAAAAGTACCTAAGGGTCGTCTCCCACCATTAATGGTTAGCCGGGGAGAGACAGGCGGGGTGGGTGTCACCGAGGAGCTTCCAGTCTTCAGGAGGAGATGTGAGCACTCCAGGTTCTCAGGCCAAAGCCACACTCAGTGTCTTGTCTCCCTCACTGTCCCTTCCAGGTCCCACCCTGCAGTCCGTCATCTGCTCCAACGACGCGCTCTTCTACTTTGTCTTCTTCTACCCCTTCCCCATCTTCGGCATCCTCATCATCACCATCCTGCTCGTGCGTTTCAAGAGCCGGAACTCCAGCAAGAACTCCGACGGGAAGAACGGGGTGCCTCTGCTGTGGATCAAAGAGCCGCACCTCAACTACTCCCCCACTTGCCTGGAGCCCCCTGTACTCAGTATCCACCCAGGGGCCATAGACTAAGGGGCGATGCCCCAGCAGATGTCGGCTACGGAGGAGCTGAGGCTCTCCCTTGCTCTGTGATTGGACAGTTGACAGCACCCAAACTCTGGGGTGCCCGTGTGGAAAGTTGTCAGACTTGAAAAGTGTTCCGAGTTCCCAATCCGTCACAGAGATAGGCTGCCTCTCGGTGGCAGTCTGGGGTGGTTAGCTATGTGCGCGCAAATGTTGTGACCTGCCCTGAGGTCTCTCGTTTCTGTTTTAGTAATGTAGTGAGTAGCTCCAGGTGCCACATCTACTCACGGATTTATCTAGTATTCTCAGATAGGTGTTACAGGGCTTCTTCTTCTTTGTAATGTACTCTTTTTAAATCCCTTTGGTTTACCCTTTTTGGATCCCTTAATGTGGACGAATTTCTCTTATGTACAAGTGATGGCAAGAGGAAGGACGAACTTTCTAGTGACAAGGAATCTCTTCCAAGACCTTTTGTTTTTGCACATTTGAAAATGCCACCCATGGATCAAAATATACCCAAACATTTTTTACTTTCTTAAGACTTGAAAATTGTGTGTAGTGTGGGCAAAATTTGTATCTTGTCTTTTCCCTCAGCTGGAGCTGCTGGGAGCACTCTGTAGTCAAGATGAAAGCATTGACTTTTGCTTCACAGAACTGTGTATGTACAAGAGAAATCCCGCATAACCCCATTAGGAGTAGATGGTGCCTGGCTGGTCAGGGAGGCAAAAAAGGCTTCATCCCATCCTTGCCAAAATATGAGAAAACTGTCTTGGAGAATGGGTCAAAAGCTCCAAACGGCACACACTTTTCAAATTCAAGTGGGTGGGGGCTGCTTTTAGCAGCTACTGACTTGCAGCTTCGTCAAAGCCAGTGACTGGAGGAGGAAGGGAGAAAGGCTGGCTGCTGGCTTGCTCTGAGCTGCAAGGGTGGCCTCTAACTGATAACTGTGAGCAGGTGGGCTTTTGTCTTCAGGTGCTTTGGCCAACTCTTGAAGTGTCCAGTGAACTTGGAAGGGGGCCCCTGAGCTGAGCACAGGGCCGAAGCAGCCACGGCGGACACCTGATGGAGGGCACTGGGCTGGTCGACACTGATGGGACAGTGAGGGGTGGGAGGGGGGCCTCCAGGGCCTGGTGTTGGAGAGTGCAGAGAAATATCTACCTCCCTGGAGGTGTGAAGACTAGGTTTTTCTTCTTCCTTCCAATTAGATTTTCCCTAAGGATATTGATGTCTTCCTTACTCATTTTTTCTCTCCCTGCCTCTCACTGCTATATCAGCCTGGGGGTGGTCCAGAGGCAGCCCATTGTCTTCCTTACTGTTGAGCTAGTCTGGCAGACTGATGACAGTCATTGTCTGTGGGGTTTTCCCTTCCCTTTCTCGATCTCTTTTGTGGTTCTAGCTTGTTTGGTTGTTCATTGTTATGGTGGCTTTTTATTCTAATGCTCCTTGAGCCCCATGATGGCTGGTGTCCCCTGTTGTTTTACATTGTTGGGCCAGATGCATGTCCCTCCTGGGGCATCATCGGTTGCAAATATTTCCTTTTTCTCACTTTACGAAGATGTTCTTATACCCTTGCTTCCCATATTTTCCTGGCCAAGCGTGCCATCTCCCTTATTTTGGGAACTTGCATCCTGAGTCCCAAGAGGGGCCACAATTTGGAAAAAGTCGTCAGGGATTCTGGAACTAAGTCTGATAAGAGATTCCAGTGAAGCCCTGTTCTGAGTACAAGCAGACTGCAGGGGAGGCTGCGGGATTCCCCAGGCCATGTGCGTGCTGATCCTTCAAGGGTCTGCGGGTGTGCAGGTGGCCCAGGCTCCTTGGCACATACTTTGCTGAGCCCCAGCTGAGGGAGCCCAGTGGCGATTGCTCAGCCATTTTCTGACAGACACACAGACCTGCCTTTTCTCTCCCAAATATACCAGTACCCTCCTGTGAGACAGTGTGCAGGCACCACCACCTTAATCCTGCTCTTGCCTGACATGCTGATTCTCATTTATTATGCTGCATGAACACATTAGACGTACAGGAGCGGCGCAGGTGTGAAGAAACGTCTTCTGCCCTGTTTCTTTCAGGGCTGTGGGCTTTCAGTGGGAAGTTGCTGACTCCTAATTTACAGGCTGAGTCAATGAGGGAAGACGACTGGCATTTCCTCTGTCTAAATGGAAGGATGCCAGCGGGCTGGCAGGGACGGGGATGTGTAACCAAGATTTCAGTTTGAATCTGTTCACAGCGATAGAGAAGTCGGTGCAGCACGCAGTTAAATATGTAAAGTAATTGCAGGAAATTTGAAAGGAAAAAAGAAACCCAAGCCAGTATTTTAATAACTGTTTTTTCTGTGTATTTTGTATTGGGCTGGGGGATAGTTTTTCGAACTTCCCATGAAGAACCCCAGGACTTACTTTAGTCTTTGGCCATTTCTACGGAAATGCGATGTCAGATGAGTGGTAATGGTGCCCTCCAGTGGCTTTGAGGCCTCACTGCGCATTGTCTACTGGAGCCTTAGTCTTCTGAGACCGAGAGGAAAACGCTGAATACTCTCGATTCATCTATGTCTACAACGTTGCATTTATGAAAAACTACACTGTGCTAGGCGCATTCCAAGACATGAATATGACCGCACCCTCTTTCACCGGGTGTTTCTGTAGCAAGTTTTCATATTCTTTTCAAACAATGGTTTCTCTGCGTTAATTATTGAAGAAGAAAAGAAAAAAAAAAGATGGGGTAAGAAGACTACCCATGCATGATGTAGAGAGCTGTTGATTTGTTTTTGTTTTTTAAAGGAAAACTATTTGTAAGATGTTGCACTAAAACATTTTATATACACTTCAGAGACCTGTAGTAAATTATGTTGAAAATACGGCTGTTTACATCTTACTTCAGTCTTCTATCTTCCTTTCTCCTCACTAGCCAGCCCCCTTCGCCGTGGAACTGTGCCGTGGGGGCCAACAGTTCTGCCCTTCGCATTGGTCTGCTAGGCTCAAGGTCTGTGAATTGCAGTCTTTATTATTACATCCCATAACCTTCAAATGATAAAAACACCTCTTCCGCAAGACACTTCACTGCCATCTGCTGAAATGTATCATAGTAAATAGACACCTTCACCACGATGGTCAAGGCTATGTTGCCCCTAGAGTTGTGCCACACAGAACACACCTAGTGCCTGAAAGCCAGGTTCAAAATGTAGATCTTATAACCTGTAGCGTTTTTGTTGGGGGATGGGGGTAGAAGCCCAATGAGAAGGAGAGCAGGAACACAGGATAGCCATCTCTAGGGCCTCTGCAGCAAGTACATACCATCCTTTCCCAAGTGCTGCCGTGGCCGTGAAATGCAGCAGGCATTTCCCAGAGTGGAGATAGGAGCAGGAGTTGCGCATTCTAGTTCAGTGAGACTGCACAGCATGCCAGTCTCTGTTCCCTCTTCCAGTGTTGGGAGGGGTTTACATCTGCAAATTGAGAAGAATATTAGAAATATTAAAGTCATAGCAGTGATACACAATTAGTCAGAACCCATCTGTAATTCTTTAAAATTCATAGAACATGGAAAAGGAACTAGATGGTAAGAAGCAGGGGAGACACTTCCTTTTTTTCTTCTTCTTCTTTTTCTGAGTCTAAGACTCAAAGGCTCTCGTGTGTGCTTTCCTCTGCTCCTCAGCTTCCGTGGCTGCACCCTTATCAACTCCTGCAGCTGCTGGCTTGCCAGGACTTGAAAATGTGACTGCTTCTCTCGGGTACCCACAGTGGTTCCATGTTAAGTCTCATGTCTGATTTTTCCTATTTTTTTTTTCAAAGGTTCTCTTTTTGCCAGGGAATGTTGTAAAAATGGAAACGGTATTATAGAATAAGATTACCCTCCTATGCCCTTTGTGCAAACCCACCCAGTATTTATATAAATGAAGTGAATGTATGCTCCCCCATGAGGCGTGCAATGAAAATGACAATTTGCATTTATGCAGGATTGGGGCAGTGTTTTGCTCACTACGTTCTGTGATTCCTAAGCTTTATGGGAGTAATTAATTCCAAGGGTTTGGCAGAAACAAGAGTCGGGACACCCAAGAGTGGCATGCTAGGAAAAGCAGCCTGGCCTCTTAAGCATCCCTCCTTTCTTAGTTTATCACCCTCTTACATTATACATCTCATATTTTTACATTATCTGCAGTGACAAGAAGATAAAACCAGATCTTGCAACACTGGTCACAGCATGAAAAACACATCCACCCCTCCTATTGATGGCACGTTCTCAGTACGTAAAGGAAGCCTTTTTGGCTCCCTTCCTAATGCATTGCAGGTCCAGCATTCCTGAGCTGCATTTGATTCACAATATTAACTCAACCAGGCATAGGAGTGCCTCTTAAAGTGCTTGATGGACAGCATTTCTCCTAATGAAAGACCAGGCGCTGCTCCTTGCTCAAAGGAGAGTCCAACCCAAGGAAGCCTAATGAATTATTCCTCACCCAAAACCTGGAGACCATGAACTGGAGTCGAGGGGCTTCCCCAGCCCCAGGGGACTGGGCTGTTCTTTCCTCAGCCCTGCTCTTAAGGGGGTTAGCGCTTGCTGGCAGTCCAAAAGTCCCGTTATCCTATCCTGCTCCTGCAGGAAGGGGTTCAGAGTAGCGGCACTGGACATGGCCTCAGCTGGACTCCAAGTTTTGTCCTTTACTGCGTGCCCTTCGTAATTTACCTTCTCCAAGCATCAGTTTCCTCATTTGCAAAAAGACAGCAATAAGATTAAGTTAATCAAAGTAATGCACTTCACACAGGACCTGCTCAATAGATGTTTGTTGTCCTATCACTTCCCAGCCCAAAACCTTTCTGTGGCTCCCCAGTGTCTAAAGGTCTGACCCTATCCTTCCTTTCTAAGTTGACCAGAGTTCCTACCAGCCCAGGGCAGAGGCGAACACTTGATTTCCTGGCATTTTGTTACACACTGCACCTGCCTTGTTTCCAGCATCTACAGATGGTGCGCAATATCTCGAGTAGCAGGTTTGTGGTAGCGGACAGGGGCCCCAGAAGTCTCATTGATAAAGATACGTTTTACGATTTTATGGCTAACTTAAGAAATAATTAATGACTCTGCAGTATGGTTCAAGTGTCTTGAGTGACTTCGAGTCCCCACCTGGGGATAATGGAGATGAAACAGCAAGAAAGCACATACCTACTTAGCTTCACGACCTGCACCGTGTGTTGGTGTCTATTTGCGCAGCAGGGATTCCTGCTCACATAGTAACTAAGAGCTCCGTGTACTCCCTCAGCTGGGCAGGGGCAACGCTGCTGCTTCTGGCTGCAAGGAAGGGGACAGACAGAGAGGCTGGTGTGAGGAGCTGGTTCTGGGAATAGTCATTTGGTCTGGGATTCAGGGCTGTGAGTGGAGGGCAAGCTCCATGCAGGCTGAGGAAGAGGAGGGAGTGATGAGTGCTCGCCGCGGCTTGGGGTGGATGGATGTGGGGAGGCTGGGCAGTGAGGGAGACGCGGACCTGACATCTCGGCAGGAGGGAAAGCCCACGGTTGAGATCGGGGAAGAGAGAAAAAGAGGAATCTGAGAAGGGAGAAACCAAAGGCTGGAAATCCCAGCCCTGGGGATAAGGGAGTCTGTGGGGGGAGGCCTGCACCTGGTAACCCTAAGCCTACCAAGTTGTCTAAAATGCTCCCTTTCCTTGTCACGTTGACAAAAAGTGGTTCAAAGAGTCCGTCTGATGCGGGATCCCACAGCGCTGAAGAGATGAGGGGCCTTGGGTGGCCCCCGCCCGTCCCCCTGCCTCCTCCAGCGGGTTTCTGGCAGCCACAGCCCCGTCCCGCCACGAAGCGGCCTCCAGCACGCCCCAAACGCTGAGGGGAAGCGCGGGAGGAAGGCAGAGAAACCAGGGCTTTAAAGCGCAAGCCCCTGTCAATGCAAGAGTTTCTTACTTAACATCGCGTATGGAATGGCGGCGGAACGACGGGAGGGACCGAGCTTGGGGACTGGACGGCGCCTCGGGGACACGGGAAGGAGGCGCGCGGAGCCCGGCCCCGGAGCGCGCGTGGGGAGTGGAAGCGGGAAGGCGAGCGCAGGGCCCCAGGGCCGGGCTGCGGCGTGCGGGGGGCGGGCCGGGCGGAGTCCTTCTTCTGGCCGCCCGCGGAGGCGGCGCTTGAACTTGGCGCAGCGCGCGGCCGGGCCCTGGCGCAGATGCCCGCCCGACGAGCCATGGCTGCAGGAAGCGACGCGGGGCGGGCCCCGGGGGTCCTCGGCGCGGTCTGCCTGCTGCTCCGCTTCGGTGAGTGGAGCCTCCCCGGCCCGCGGGGACTGGGCAGCGTCCGGGCTGGGTGGACGCGCTGGGCCCGAGGCGGCTGCGGGTCCGGGACGGGGCGGGGGGGGGTCGCCGTGGGCCGCGAACGACTCAGCCGCGGGGGCCTTTTCGGGAAGAGAAAGTTGTGATTTCGTCGCCCGCGTCCCCCGTGGAGTCAGCAGGGCGCTTTGGCCTCAGGGAAGGACTGACCCCGGCCCGCTCGTCGCTCCAGCGCGGCCTCCGGGGCCCCCGCCCAGCCTGCGGGACCCAGTCCCTTCCCCACCTCCCCAGGGGCGTCGCCCAGCGCTTCAGCGGACGGCAAACTCCTTCGCAGCCGTGGACGCCCCGGGACGGGGTGCGGGCGCGGCTCCCACCTGCCCGAGAGCGAGGCCCGGTGCCCACGCCGCGCGGTGCGGTCTCCGCCGGGGGAACTTTTCGGAGTCGCTCCACAGCCAGGAGGGGGAAGGAGGGAAGCCGGTAGGCAGCGGCGTCACCTTGGGATTCCTGAGTGCGGCGACTCCTGCTCTTTTCTCCTCCCCGCAAAGCCTAAAAGCTAGTGTCGGAGCTGCGCCCATCCTCACCAAGTGTCAGCCAAGTCGTCACAACAACCCCAGGAAATAGGCCCCTTTCTCCCCGTGTTGGCCTCCCCGCTCTCCTCCACCCTCCGCACACTGGCCCCAGTCAGGCCGTAGGCGAACCTCGGGGCGTACAGCAGTGACCTCCCGGCCAGATCTCCTGTACTTGAGGGGTCCCCATGGTGGGCCCCTGCACCCCACTGCCAGCCTTCCAGGCCGTCCATCCGTTTGCTCAGCGTCCACTGCCAGCCCGGGCGGTCCATCTGTGGATGACAGCGAAACGGGAGGGGTTGAGATAGGCTCAAAACTACCTGCATGATCAGGTAAAGTGAGTGTTGTAAGACAGGCCTAGGCTGGGCGTGGTAGTTCACACCTGTATTCCCAGCACTTTGGGAGACTGAGGCGGGCGGATCGCTTGCTGGGAATTGGAGACCAGCGGGGCCAACATGGTGAAACATCGACTCTACAAAAAATACAAAAATGAGCTGAGCCTGGTGGTGCATACCAGTAGTTCCAGCTCAGCTCCAAACGCTGAGGTAGGAGAACCACCTGAGTCCCAGAGGCAGAGGATCCAGTGAGCTGTGATTGTGCCACTGAACTCTAGCCTGGGTCAGAATATAACCTGTCTCAAAAAAAAGGAGACGTCTGAGCTGTGGGAGTACAGAGGGAAGAAGGAGGCGGTCTCTTTTGTGAAATCAAGTGTCTTTTTGTTGTGCAGCAGTCTTCCTGGGAGGGAGGATATTTGGACCAGGCCTTCAAGGACTGGTGGTGTGTGGACATGTGACAATGTGGGAAAAGAATCCTAAGTGTCCCCTTTGGGAGTCCGAATTCTCTTCTGTGAGCTGAGAGAGCTGTTCCTGGGCCTTACAGGATCAGAACCATGAGCCTGCAAAGAATAATCTGTCAGCAACAAACAGGAAGGGTGCAGTCAGGAGGAACTGGAGACAGGGAGGCCAGGAGGCCAGGGTGGACTACCATCTCAGGGTCCAAAGAGCTTCTGGAGTTCGTGTGCTGGTGGCTGGGGAAAGGAAGAACAGATACACACAGGGATTAGTTGAATGAATGGGTAGCTCCTCCAGGCAAGCTGGTCCCTCATTCCCTGGCACCTTGGGTCACTGCTGCCTGTACCTGTGTTCTCCCTTCCACTGCAAACCCAGTTTGCCTAAGCTCCACCTCCAACAGAAGATTATTTGAACTGTCTGTCCCTTCCTAGGTGTCTCTCTCACCTAATTCATGTATTCATTCAGAAGTCATTTCATTCAGCGAGCATGTATTGATAACCTGCTCTACACAGGCCTTATACTAAGGACAAGACTGAATGGGTATATCTCTGTTTCTAGTGGTGGGCTTTTTGGGGCCCAAGCCTGCCTCAATGGGGAAGCTGCAGACACAGTGATTAACAGCTGATACTGTTCATCATCAGATGCCTAGCTTTGGGTCCTGGCCCCACTCCTCACTGAGTCATGTACTTGTGTGAGTTCTGTTCACTTCAGTACCTTCACTTTTGAAGAGAGCACCACTCAACCTGAGGGAAAGGATAATAATAAACCCACTTAATAGAATTACTGGGAACATCAGTCATTCAGTGAATATTGACTGAGTGTCAATTATATGTTAAGCACTGAACAATGGATGGGGGATATAGCAAGATACACACAGTTCCCTGCCTTTGTGAAGCTCACCTTATAGTGAGGGAGAGAGGCAGTATGTAAATGAGTGAAAACATGGACGCTGGATCGTGATAAGGTAAACATTTACTAGTGTAGAGATGAGCAAAGCAAAGAAGTGGGGATGTAAGTGGTTAATATTTCAATTCAGTTTTTTAAAAAATTTTAGAACATGTAAAATCTTTAGGACAGTTGTGAAATTAATGCAGTGAACATTTGCGTACTTTCTCCTTGATCACAAGTTACTGTCACATTAGTTTTCTTTGTACATCTATTATTTTTGCTAAACCATTTGAGAATTTCAGACCTCATGACACCTCACCTCTAATTCTTCAGTGTATGTCTCGTAAGAGCAAGACCTTTCTCCAGCAAGTCACAGAATCATGATAGTCTGGAAATATGGCAGTGATACAATACTGTTTTCTGGTAGAAAACCCAGAAGCCAGTCCTGCACCGTTTGGTAATCATGCCTCTTTAATCCCCTTTAACCTAAAACTGTTGTGTTTTTTTTTTTTTTTGGTACTTTATGACATCATCATTTTTAAAGCATCTGAGCTGGTTGCTTTACAGAATGTCCCTTGGATGTGGATTGCCTGCTTGTTTCCTTGTGATAAGATTCTGGTTGTAACTATGAAGCAGGAATACTTCATAGTTATGTTGGGTCCTTCCAGTGTGTCACATCAGGAAGCAGACGTGGTCTGTTTGTCGCATTATTAGAGATGTTAACTTTGACTATTTGGTTAAAGTGAAGTGTACCAGATTTCTCCATTGTAGAGGCACCATTTTCCCTTTGTAAGTAATAAATGATGTAGTAATGTTTTGAGGTTGAGCGAATATCCTGTTCTCCTGCCATTGTTCATTCAATGGTTTTAGTATCCTATGGTGATTCTTCCCAGAATCCAATATCACTGAAATATTTTATTTTTTGAGACAGCACCTCACTATGTCACCCAGGCTGGAGTACAGGGTGCTATCACAGCTCACGCCAGCCTTGATCTCTGAGGCCCAGCAGTCCTCCTACCTCAGCCTTCTGAGTAGCCAGGACTACAGGTGCATGCCCATGCTTGGCTAATTCTTCTTTTATTTTTTATAGAAACAGGGTTTCCCTATGTTGCCCAGGCTGGTCTTTTTTTGTTTTGTTTTTTTTTGAGATGGAGTTTCGCTCTTGTTACCCAGGCTGCAGTGCAATGGCGCGATCTTGGCTCACTGCAACCTCCACCTCCTAGGTTTAAGCAATTCTCCTGCCTCAGCCTCCCAAGTAGCTGGGGCTACAGGCGCGCATCACCATGCCCAGCTAATTTTTGTGTTTTTAGTAGAGATGGGGTTTCACTCTTTGACAAGGATGGTCTTGATCTCTTGACCTCATGATGCACCCGCCGGCCTCCCAAAGTGCTGGGATTATAGGCGTGAGCCACTGTTTCCAGCCCCAGGCTGGTCGTAAACTCCTGGGATCAAGTGATCCTCCCTCCTTGGCCTCCCAAAGTGCTGGGATTACAGGCATGAGCCACCATGCCCAGCCACTAAAATAATTTCAAATGGTAATTTTCTTTCTCTCCTTCCCTTCCTCTCTCTTTCTCTCTCCCTCCCTCCCTTCCTTTTCCTCCCTTCCTCCCTTCCTCCCTTTTTTCTTCCTTCTTCCCTTCTTTCATTTTCTTCTCTCTTTTCTTTTCTGTTGAGATACAGTCTCACTCTGTTGTCCAGACTAGGGTACAGTGAAACAATTATGGCTCACTGCAGCCTTGATCTCCCAGACTCAAGCAATCCTCCCACCTCAGTTTCCAAGTAGCTGGGACTACAGGGCCATACTGCCACGCTCAGCTAATTTTTTTTGCATTTTTTGTAGAGACTGGGTTTCACCATATTGCCCAGGCTGGTCTTAAACTCCTGGGCTCAAATAATCCTTCCGAGCCAGTTTCCCAGAGTGTTGGGATTACAGGCATGAGCCACCCAGCAATTTTCTATCCTGTTTTTCTGTATAGATTAGTTTATATTCTTCAGTAATGAATAGCTTTTGCACACACATCCTCCCTTTTTTCTTTTATTTTAGAAGGCTGTGTGGACTCATGGATTCTTTTTTAAAGATGGCATTCCTGTCATCCATTCTGATGCTCAGCGACCCCACATTTGACAAGCGGGAGCCCCTTCAAGCTTAAGAGTCCTTTTGCTGCATTCCTGTTTGATTTTAAACATTTCCTTACTTTCTGGCACAGAAGGATGTTCTGGACTCATTTTCCTGCCTGAGCCTTCAAATCATTACGTCTCCTGGTCTCTTTCAGTGAGAGAAGGTATGTAGACATCAAGTTCTGGGTGCTAGGTGTGCCCATGGGTACTGGAGTCATTGCTTCTCAGCCCTTTCAGTTTTCAAAGTTAAGAAATAGAGTTTTTACAAAGTCAGGAGTTCACAGCGATACCTCTAACACTTACAATCTTGCCGTTCAGTTCTTCTGCCTCTTCTGCCGCTCCATGTTTGTGTCTCCTTACTCACACAGTGAGAATTCCCTTCTTATAGATTTCCCTAATCTACATTAAACCCAACTCATTTTACAGTTGCTACACCAGTCTACTTCCCACTACAAACTTACTAATTACAGTTACAGATTTGTTTATAGTTCCTTTTGCTTCTCATTACAGATAGTCTCCAGCTTCACAATGGTTCAACTTAAGATTTTTCAACTCTACAATGAGTTTTTTGGGATATACTTCCATAATAAGTCAAGGAAAATCTGTATATCCCAGTGAAGATGTATGCAATACTATATTCAAAAGTTACTTGGACTCTTTTTCTTTCTAACTGCCCTTCTTAAACAAGGTAACACTCTATGTACTTTTTGTGTGCCAGTTTTGTCATTTAACCATACATCTGGAAAATCATTCCCTATCACTTCATAGAGATCACCTCACTCTTTTTCACAGCTGCGTAGTCCACCAGAGGGTGACTATATGATAGTTAATTCAGCTGCTCTCCTCCTGTTAGTATTACATGGTGTAGTCAGGGAGGTCTGTTTAATAGGGTGACAGTTGACCATACACTTAAGGAAGTGAGAGCTAGGCTACAAGGCTATCTGGGGGAGTGATATTCCAGGTATACTATTCCAGGACCCTGAGATAGGCTTTGAGCATTTAAGAACTTTAAGGAGACCACTGTGCCAGAGAGTGGTAGACAATGAAGTTATGGAATCACTTTTCCCTGCTCAAAACCATAGCCAGGAGTTAATCCTCATCATCTACTGCCTGAAGCACTGTAGAAGCTGTTTACCTGGCTTCCCTGCCCCTAGTCGATTGCCCCTCTCCTTCTGCATTATGCACCCACTTAGGAGTTTCTGTCTACTACATTGTGTCCCCCTCAGATTCACATG